TAATAATAATATATATATATATATATATATATATATATATATATATATATATAAAAGGAACCTTACACTGTTCATCAATGATTGCAGTCACTGATGAATGTAATCATTGTCTTTTCTTAATGGCTGTGGATAACGCTCATGACTTTCCCTTCAAGTGAGTCGTTAAATACTTGCCGAACTCCTGCATATCCACCATTACATAGACTCCACTCACACATGCACTCTTTTTTGCATTGCAGATAACTGCTGGCATTGCAAAAAGCAAGCAAGACTCGTGCTCATTTTACTTCAGGTAGGCAAGTTGTCACATTGTTGTACCCTTTGGTCCTCTTCATGTATTTGTTGTAGCTGGTAACCCATCAAAAATTTAAATGAAAACCTTTTATTTAATCTACAATGTAGACAAGGTGTCAGCAACCTATGGCACACCAAGCAATTTCCAATGACATGCAGCCACAAATGACATCACAAAGTCCAAACCAATAACTAATACAATGCAAAGAAGATATTTAGCTGTTTAAAAACTGCTCACTCATTGGACTCCCATTAATAACAAAAACTTTAAAAACAGATTATTTCTATTAATGTGGTTTACATATTATTGTATATATTACTATATATAAAATATATTTTAGAACAGATATATTGACCTTGACTTGTATAAAAAATATGTATGCTGTTGGCACACTGAATGATTTTAAAAACCTAAATCAGCACACAGTTAGCAAAAGGTTGCTGACCTCTGATGTAGACTATCTGCATTCTTTTCTCCATGCTTTTATATGATATCATATAGATAAATTATCTCTTTCACTCAATCACATATATATACAAACTAGAGTGGCTCTTGGGCCTTGTACAGGGTAAATATCATTGTTAAAAAAGAAAATTATATACCTTTTTCTTACTACCTGTAAGAATATTAACCCCTAAGTTATCCCTGTTGTTAGTAAAACTATTTAACCATTGGTTGAAGAAGTCAGTGGAAGGTGTTAAGTGTATATTCAATTTTACAAAATGTGGGTAAGCACTCATTCCTTCTCACTATAGACCCATCAGCTTGCTCAGTGTCATTAGCAAACCTTTTTGAAGCTATAATCAACACGATGGTTGTTCATTGTCTCATTAGTGACAATCTTTTCAGTGACAAGCATTGATTGGATTGGTCCACTATTGATATCCTAACTTTATTGCTCACAGAATCAGTGAGGTGTTAGACAATAAATACATCTCAAAGATGATCACATTAGATATTTCAATGGTCTCTCGACAAGGTCTAGCATAGAGGGTTGTTGCACATGTTCTCTAGTTAGGGAATTGCTGGAAGAATCTTCTCAATTATCAGGTCCTTCCTAACGGGTAGGTCCCTGAAGGTAGTTATTAACAGGCAGTCTTACAAGGCTCAAGTGATCAACGCAGGTGTCCCCCAAGACTGGCTTCTCAGCCCAATGCTTTCTATTTTATATAAATGATCTACTGAAGAATACACTCAGATCTTTTGGTATATGGGTTCACCTTCAAAACTCTAGATGACCAGAGATTGGCAGCTGGTCTCTCCTCTGACCTAGCTCTAACAGCTCAGTGGGGGGGGGAACTAGCTGGTCACATTTAGTGCCTCAGAAACCAAACTAGTCATGTTCCATCATCACTAAGTTGACCCTGAATTTTTGCCTATCAAGATGAATGGGTGTTCTATCAGAGGCCTTGTGCCCCTACTGGGACTTAAGCTCACCCCAGGCCTCAAGTTGAACTCGTACATACAATCCATTGCTAAAGATACGGGAATAATGATCAGTTTCCTGTATTGCGCCAGCAAGTACCTGACTCCTCCTGCTATTTTCTACCTTTAAGAGAGCCAGATCAGGTCAAAAATGTAGTACTGCTGCCATATATGGGCTGGAGCTGTACAGTCTTCTTCCCAGTCTTGATAGAGTTCAAAAGTGTCTCAGCAATGAATTGTTTTCCATCCTACAACCCCTTTCTCGCAATCCTTTCACTCTTTGATCTCTTTGCTATTTCTATGGAAAGTGTTCAAATCAGCTGTATTCCTTAGTTCCACAAGTTTTAACCTTTACAGCTAAGATCTGTCATGCCATGCATATTGTAGTGAACCCCATATTCCTTTTTTTACTCCACTGGTAAGATATAAGTTCCACTTCTCCCCATGAACTGCTGCTTTGTGGAACTGACTCTCAAGAGGATGCTTCCTTGACCATTACAATCTTAACCTGTTCAAATTTATGGTCAACTTTTATCTTTCCGACATATCCTCATCTACTGTGCCTCTTACTGTGACCCTCTATCTCGAGTGGCTCTTGGGCCTTGTCCAGGGTGAACATTATCATAAAAAAAAAAAAAAAAAGATTTAACTCTGGTAAGTATTTGCTTAACCAGCACCATCCATGAGGCTACAGATTCCTGGAAGGTAACCAACTTGTCAATGGTCAAAGCACTTTGGAATAAGAACATAGTCAAAAAAAAAAAAAAAATCAAAAACAGTAGAATAAAAATCAGCACAATTTTGGAAATGATGAATTATCATTGATATTGCAACAGTAAATCTTTGGTAATAGAAACATTACTGTTTATAAATATAATGTATTCTAAAACCTATTTTATCCTATGTATATAGTATGGAAAATAAAATCTCTCAAAAACCAAGATACTTTTAAATCATTGCAATTATAAGGCTAAACTTACCTGAAAATTTTAATTTTGAAAATAATTTTTTATTATTCATTTTTAGTTAAGTGATATCAAAATGTAGAAAAGAAGATTTCTGTGTATTGACATTTTTAATTATTGTATTTTCAATGAAATTAATGTTAAGAATGAAGAATAGTAGCCAAACTAATATCTCATTGAATATCTAATGAAGAATTAAATCTAAAGCCCATTGATTTCATAACCAAATCTATCAATTTCTAAATATTCACTGAATGATTAAAAAAGTGGAAGGTAACTGAAATACTAAAATAAAATTATGATCATGATTCTAGTTCCTGGAGTGTAAAAATAAACAGGTTTGAAATAATATCCAAGGGGTAATTTTTCACTTAGTATTAAGTCATTTTCCTTTTGCAAAAAAATTATATTGTGATATCATGAAGGAGGTTAGTATTATTTTAGGACAATTTATAAAAGGAGGTAGAATCAATAGAGGGGATTTGATATGTCCCAGAAAGGGATCTATTTGTTCGAAGTAGCAAAGTGGTTTTGGACTACTGTAACCGAGTAGGACAATCTAGCAGGTAACCGTAATGACTGGTCCTCGTCGTAGTGGTAGGCAATAGGCAAAGACAATAGGCGTTGTCTATGTACCTCCACATCAGTCTGTATTTATGGCTGACACCCGCCAATCATATTATTGTGAGGGGGAACCCAGGTGTATGCATATTCATTACATCAGGATAATATTCCTTGTTATAATTTTTTTTTTTTTTTTTTTTTACTTGGAACTTATTTCAATAAATTTATCTATAAAACTGATTACTTAATTCTACTGAGACTGGTAGACTTCTTTTCTCTATACACAAATAAATGTTACTTAAATTTCAACCACATACAACAAATGCTGTTTAAATTTCAAGTGAGAATCTCTCCTTATTATAAAAAAAAAAATCACTTTGATCAAATAGAGAAAATATAAGTTGTTTAAAATCTAGAAAATATTTTTTAGTTTCCCAAAAAGGCTTTAATATTTCTTTGAATTAAAAAAAATAATTTAAAGATTGTTTTTTTTTTTAAATTTTATTTGGTATTATTTACAATAAATTGTTATCCGGATGTTAGCAAATGGATGATGTGTGTGTGCGCTGCACTATAAAATGACAGTAAAATATATCATGCAGGACTTGCAGTGTTTGCCATAGCAACAAGGAGACATGCACACAAATACTGACTTCATGTAACAAGCATCCAAGGAAATAAGAGATGAAGTCAGAAAAATCAAGACAAACAGTTTGAACAATAAAGAACAGAAACCCTGAAAATAAAAGAAATTAATTTTTTCGATGTAAATTTTTTTCCTTTAGTCAATACTTGAATGATACCATATGCAGAAAAAAAAGATATTTAGACAAATTTTCATATTATACTATTAAATTGAGTTTGAACAAGAATTAATAAACAAATAATAAAACTTGTTTATTGCTGGGAAAAAAAAAAAAAAAAAAAAAAAAAAAAAAAAGCTAAATCTTTTTCTAGTCATTAAACCATATTTAATAACTGAGTTGTCATTATGATTTTGAAAGATCTGACCAATTTTGAGAAATTTAACCAGAAATTATGCTGCCAAATATTCTTATCCTTAAACGTTTGTCAGTGCAAAAATATGTTGGATATAAATTCTAATGTTTTCCACTGTGTATTTTGAATGATAGTTTTTGCTTTTATACAGCCAACAACTAGACTCACTAATTATGATACTGTTTTTTCATCCACTTTCCTTTTAGCAGTAATCCAGGTAGGAAGTGACGATTATGAGGATGTGGAGGAAAGATGACAATTGCAAATATTGAGATTACTGTTGAAATAAGATCCTTAAATCTGTTTCAGTTGATATTTTGATTATGAACTTCACCTTCTTAAAAAAAAAAAAAGAAAAAAAAAATCAGATTATCTTTATGAACAAACTAATAAATTTGCCACCTAATTTTGCATTTTTGAATTGGAAAATACCTGAACAAAAAGCCACAATATATTGGTCAATCCATAAGCATACAATGTGATAGACCAATTCAGTATAGTACTGATTTGTGACACAATAAATTCTTTTATTTTATTTGTGGAGAAGGTACCCTCCTATATTTGGCTTTCTACAAACGTAGCCTTGTGTAAGTAAATGAATTCAAAAACAGTGATAGTACTTAAAATGACAAAACTATGAACTCTGGCTTTGGTGTCAAACTATTTTTAGAATCAATGGATAATTAAAAGGGATTGGAAATGACTGAACTCTTCATAAAAAGAGATAAAAAATTCAGGTGAGAAAGACTTACGTTATCTTGTAGATCAATATCAGAGCCGGCCAAACACAGATATTCTGCAATCTGAGCATGTCCATAACGAGCGGCTACGTGTAAAGCAGATTCACCAGACTAAAAAGATAATTATTGAAAAAAGATGGAATAATTTATTCATTATAAACACTTACTCAATAAATGCACACAATATATGAATTATTTGCAAATACATTAAATATTTTAGCAAATACAGAAGAAAAAATAGCAACATCTAGAAACTAAGGTACAATCAGCCTAATTTGTAACATTAATTAGTTTGAATTAAAACCAAGCAAAATGATAAATTATGAATATTAACATGATGTCATTATATAAAAGAGGGCATTCTTTTAGTCTTTCATTACATACAATGTAGATATATAAAGTTATGTTTGAAATTATGAAATTTTATAAAATGTAGGGTTTTTAATATATTCACTGCTGCATTCTTGCTTGGCTGTGCTGGCCCATTTTTGAAGAAATGGGCCTCTTCTGCATCTACCAAGATAATTATTATTTTGCGCAACAACTAGGGCAGGTTGAGGATAATCATTGTCACTTTGGTACACTTCATCTGTTGAGAAATCCTTTAAATTGGTAGAAGAATATCTGTCACTTTGTCAAATAATTCTTCTGAATTTGGATTGACAAAAATTTGGTCTATTTGATGGGCAATTTGACGTTGACGGCAATTTCTTAGTTCTGTCATTTTCATTTAATCAGATACTCTTTAGTACATACCAAGTTAAATGACACCTTTCTTCACACAATATGATAAAAATACATCATAAAACAGATTGTATAGTATGTTACTATATGTCTACACTGGGTTGGAAATAGCAGATACTCTTTAGTACATAAATTGGAAATAGCACAAACACTAGGGATCAACTTTTTAAGGCAACTTGGAAACGTATACATTGACAACAAGCACTGCAGGTTTTGTAATGATATCTTCAAAATGTATATACCTGCCAACAGAAAGCACTAAGTTCTGTAAAGATACAGGTCTTGAAAATGTAAGTTTTGTAAAGACAGATAAGTACTTTTCCCTTTCAAATGTTAATTTGCTACAAAAGCATTAATGCAATTCATGGAGAAATGTTGCAATATTTTCAGTTGAAAAGTTAACTTGTAAGATAAATAAACTTACAAAATATTTCACCAGATTTCTACATTTTGTAACAGAAAGTTTAAAGAGAAAACTATTATTATCACAGTGAAATGTTTGAGTGCATTCAATTCTGAATATTTATCTGACAAACTCAAATTAGAATATAATTATGTACAGAATTAATAGAATAACAAACTGTGTTACAGAAAAAGGAATACAAAACATAAAAGACAGCAAACATTCATTTCAAATTCTTCAGTGCTAAGAAGCCTGCAAAAATTGATCTTGTAACTCAATGTATCAAGTACTTTCACCTGTCAGGCAGTACTTACTTTGTTTTGAGTATCCAATGGTACACCTTCTTCTTTCAAATAACGTACAACCTCAAGATGTCCTTGACGAGCAGCCCAGTAAATAGCACTGTCATTGTGCTGTAACAAAGAGAGAAAAATAATTTAAAAAAAAAAAAAAAAATCTATATTTGAACAAGATGCATAAACAGTGAGTCTCTTGAGAGATACATAAATGTGATTATGATAATTAGATAAAAAAAAAAGTTTGAAAAAAAAAAAGAAGACTTTTTTAGGCAATTAAAAGATGTGCTTATATTTAGTTTTTAATACACCTTACTATGAAAAAGTTTATTTTAGAAAGACTTTGACTAACATCCTTATCTGTTATTTTCTTTTCTTTATTTTTTTTTTTTTTTTTACAATCTTTTCAAGAAGTAATAAGAACATATCAGAATATAGATATATAACAATTTGGAGTATCGTACAATAAAAAATAGGCACAAACTGGAACTTTTCAGAAAAAATTGTTACACTGATGCATAAATTGATTTCTGGTAGCTAGCTGGACCCTTGGAAATTTCACAGGTGTTTAAAGCTAAGATCATTTGTTATTTCACGGCTTGGCTCTTCACTCACCCTGCATCTGTATTTTTTCATTTTTTCCCCTTATCTCTTCCAATCATTATGGCTCATCAATGTTTTCGTCTAAATTGCTATACAGATTAGTCTCATATGCAACGAAAGAATAACGAATATACAAATATTTTCTATTTCATCTTTCTCTCGCCATAAAGAGTTTCAATTTATCACAATTTTTATGCCTTTCCATCTCTACCTGCATTTTAATCTTTAGCTCAGTCTGTTTATAACCAAGCAGCAAACCCATTTCTCTCATCTCCATCTCTTTGCTTTCTTCAAAAATTCCTTTTGCCTGTATTTCTTTAATATTTTTACTTCTTAACTTTTCTCCTTCACATTCTTCTCTTTTCTCTCACTTTTCACAATTCTTTCTTATTTATTATGTATGTTTCTTGGTTAGAAAGCTTAACTGATTCCAGTTCAGAAAAACAGGAGATTGAGCAGATACTACACTTTGATCCTATATAGAAAAGTGTAAGAGTCATACATACAGAATAATAGTATAGATAAGGTAAGTAAAAGTTAAAGAAGATAGCTTTTTAGTACATTTCTTACTTACAGGTGACCAAAAGTGCATTAAATCTTATTAACGTCTTTGTATTTTACAACTTCTGTTTGACCAGCAAGATCTGAAGCTTATAAAATCTAATTTTCATAATTGCAAATATCAAAGCAACTGTCCTTAAAAAATAAAGAAATAATCTTTTCTTTATCACTAAACCAAATTGTAAATATGTTTTTTTTGATTTAGATGAATGACTGTGCCAAATTAACGTCATGCACTAATTCCTATTTTCCTTGTAAAACTATAAGCCTCTGATGTCATTTTTGGCCATTGCCTCAGGCTTACATTCCCCATGTGTTCTACACACTCAATTCTGAATATGGTAATAAAAGTACAGAAATAAAAAGCAAAATTTATTGAAATTCTTAGGATTATATATATATATAAAGACATTTTTTTTATGTTTATATGTTCTTTTTTATAGATACAAATATTTAAGTAAATGTTCTGTTTATAATAAACAGTATTAAACAACATTTACCGACCTGAATGTCCGAGAAATTTTCATAGAAAATATTCGTCCTCCAACAGGAATCGAACCTGTATCCTATACAGAACCGTCATATAGCCTGACGTCTGGATACGCATTGAGCAGATATGAATGAATGAGATAAAATCATGGAGAATTGGGTTTAAAAACAGTAAAATCGACCTTGCTAACCGAACGTTCCTCTGTGGCCCAATCGGTTAAGGCACGTCAGGCTATATGACGGTTCCATATAGGATACAGGTTCAATTCCTGTTGGAGGATGCATATTTTCTATGAAAATATCTGACATTCAGGCCGGTAAATGTTGTTAATACTGTTTATTATAAACAGAGCATTTACTTAAATATTTGCATCTATAAACAAAAGAACATATAAACATAAAAAATGTCTTAAAAAATAATTGTCAGACATTGTCCATTTCATAATATAAAAAGTTATGTATGCTTTGGCTATTGTCCCCCCCCATCCTTCTTTAGGAGTGTGACAATCCCAATAACCTCCGGAGAATTTAAAATTGATCCCTTTATTTAATCTACAGATGTACATTGTTCTACTCTCCAGGTCTAGTATTATCTCCTCCTCCTCCTTAATTATTGCTGCCCAATTATTGCAAGTCTCCCCAACCCCACTGAGTATGAGTCTCTGTACTAGCCACAGATGAGGGATTGAAATTCACCAAATTTATGATCCTGTATTTTAATCCTTGAACTGGATAATAAAGATGTAGTCAGTGGAAACAGGAATACAAGCAATAACTGAGCAGTAGAAATATGATGAAAGAAAAAAATAAATAAATAAAAAGACTATATCACTTGGATAGCAGAAATGTGAATAATCTATTCCTGTTGATTGAATAAATAGTTCAGTTTCAAATTCCTTGAACAATACTAAGATTGGCAGATGTTTGAAGACCAGAGGATACAACAGATAAAACATTAATCCAACTATAAATAATGATAACTCCTCAGCCAATAAATTTGGACAGAAATTAGAGGCCACTATTGAGGAGTTATTTCGTACAGGACACGTCATGAATAAAACATTTATTCTTGATATTCATAAAAAAAAACCCCAAAAACAATTAGTGAATAAAGAGTAAACAAATGAGAAATGGTTTGGTTTAAAAGTTTGGTGAATATAGCATGGAAACTAATCAATAAAGTTTGAACAATGATATTAAGGTTTATGGTTTATTTAGTTTAACAGTATATCAATCTCAAAGGGTTATTTAATGCCGACAAAATTTTTAGGACAGGTTCATATGAATAGAGTATGTCTTCTTCATAAGAAATCATTTTGTAGATCAGTTTTCATTGACACATTTTATAAAGAGTCAAATGTATTGCTGGTAATAACTTTCTTAAAAAAATGTATTGCTGGAAATAATTTTCCTTTCAAAATATGTTACAAAACCATGTAAGTAAGTAGATTTAGTAAACTGTTTTTTTCTCTTCTTTTTTTTTTTTATATTTTCCTGTAGAGCCGAATTTCTTTAATGAAATTTATGATGTTACTTGGATTGATATTTTCAAACAGATCCTTTTAGCTATCTGATTTTTAGAGCTTGATTCAGGTTTGTTGGAAGTTACTGCAATTTAGTAGAATGCGTTTGACATAGGACATGTATTGGCGGTTCCTCATTTTATAGTAGATGTTGATGGGTTATTTATACATGTCCTATATGGAGGTCGGCAAGAACTACCTCCTCTCTCCTTTCTGGAACTTGAGAGTTTTTCACTGATGATTGGTTGGATGTTAAACAGTTTGTTGTTTACACAGTTGTTCCATAATTGCTACCATTTTTCTTTAATGGTTCTGCTGGGTCGGATGTCGGTGTGTGGCAAGGTTACATTGGAGAGAGCCAGAACAATGATATTAAGTTTGCAATTAAAAAAACTTACATCCACTAAGAAAATGAATACAAATCAATTCCAAAGCTAACGATTTAAAAAGCAACTCTGCTTTTTTTTGGAACCAAGATAATTTCAAGAGATGTCGAAATTACCATTTTCATTTATCTTGATTTTAAAAATGATTTAAATAATGTGAGCAAAAGAAAGAAAATGATTGTGTGAATGTCTTTTTAAGAAAGAAAAAAAAGGCTAAGTTTTTTAAGACTGATATCTACTTACCTTGTCAAGTACATCAATGTTGGCTCCTTTGGAATGAAGATATTTCACAACTTCAACATGGCCACCACTAGAAGCCATATGCACAGCAGTTTCTCCATGCTGTAAATAAAACAACAACAAAATTCAGGTAACAAGGTAAATACTTGAAACCAGAAGCAAACTAAATTATTTTGACAGCCTTTTCAACATTATCAGAAATATGATCTGTAGTTCTGACAATTAAGAAAATATTTATTCTTATAAAAAATATGTTCAAAATTAAAAAATTTAATTTCTCAATTGGTTTGCATTTCACATGAAAGACTATCTACTAATAAAATACTTGCCTAGAATTTTATAAAAAGACAAATTTCTAATTTGAAATAGTGGCACAGTATTATTCTCAGTTAATAGATATATCTTTTGCAGTTTGTAAGAAACCAATTTTCAAACTGAAGTTGAAGGAAAATTCATTTAAAATTGGAAAAACCTAATCTGTGATATCAAGATCTGTTTTCAGAGATAGGGAAAAGAAAAAGAAGATTATATTACTGACAGGAGCAACATACAAAATTCTAAGCTTTTTAGAGAAATTGATTTATTTATAGTGATTTCCAAAATTTCAATTTGATAACCATTATTTATTAATCAACATTAACAAGGAAAAGTAACTCTGGCATTAGGATAATAATAATAAAAGACATACAGACATGTTTATTACATAAATATATTGTCAGTTGTTTTAAATGAAAAATACAAATATATAAAATATTTTTGGCCAATTTTTTTAAATGACAACAAATTACAATTGCTCTTCCTTTTCTTGCAAATATAATGTAGGCAAGAATGTATGTTGATAGGATTCCAAAATTGGTGACAAAGGGTGTAAAAAATGTTTAAATATTTAAAAATAAATAATATTTAATGAAAAATATAACACTGAAATTTCCAATTATATTTTGAGTGCACAAGAGACCAAAAGACTGAAATTTTCAAAAAGTTTGAAAAAAAAAAAATAAATAAATAAAATCAATTGGTAAGCATGAAGAAAGTACAAATATAAATTCCATCAAAACTTATTTTCCAAATCAGAATCCAGAACAAACTATAAAAGAGGGAGGGGAGAAAACACACAAACAAATCGGTCAACCAGTGTTTATAAAATAAAACAAAAACAAGAAGGGGATAAATAAATATGGAAGATTTAATGTAATACTGATGATAAATGATTGATATGAAATATACATAATATATAAGATGGAATATGTAAAAATTTCCCAGAATTTACCTGTAGAAAAACACATGTATAAAGGAAGAAAGACAATAGGAAAACTAGTTTTAGCCGACTCGTTTAGTCCAATGTGGACTTTTTCAAGGCAAAAAACAAAATGAATTTATTGAAACAAAGTATCTATAAATAGCAAACAAAATGTTAGCAACTAGAAAAATTTAGAAATGTTATTGTATATTCATATGGTCAAATGAAAAATTACATCAATTACTTTATAAATTGTTACTTTATTTTCATTTTTGTTTGTTGTTTATAGATACTTTGTTTCAATAAATTGTTTTTTTTTTTGCCTTCAAAATTCCACATTGGACAAAACGTGACGGCTAAAACTACAGTTTTCCTATTGTCTTTTTTCCTTTATATAAGATGGAATATGTGAAAAGCAGATGGATGCTTAAACTTCTATTTCCTTGTTGATGTTTCTCTCTTTCAGGTTTTCGGATTTTGATAATGCTCAGGAGAACGAAGTGAAATGTCAACAAGGAAACAAAAATAAAGACCCAACTGGTTTTCACATATTCTATCTTAAATACTGTTTACAGTATTTATAAATTTCACTAAATTTAAAATCTGAGGTTAAAACTGCTGCAGACATTTTTCTTCACTTTATTACTGTTTTAGGTCAGTTACAAATTATTTCTACTAAATATTCTTGGTAATACTAATTCTTATGAAAAAAGAAAATAGAATCTCAGTTAATTGTGTTTTTCTTTTTCTCATGACAATCTTAATGCTGCTCTTCAAGGATTATGAGAAAAAAATGCTGCTATGGTAAAACTTGGTGAAGCAACAAGTGATATGACATATCGGTTCACAGACTAAATCACAAGCAGAAATTAGTAGTAATGGACTTCTGAATAAAATTTAATTTGAAGATGGTTGGAGAATAGAGCAGTGAAACTGTTAGGAAAAGAAAATAGGGATATTTTATTTCTTGACTATTAATAAATAAAAACAACCAGAAGAGAACATGGAATTGGTAAAGTGTTGTTGAATTTAGAGTGATAGCATTTTAAAAATCAGGAATACTTTAAAAAAAAAAAAAAGTTTTAATAGTGTACTTTGTTTTCTTTTAATTTTATTTTAGTTGATTTTTATTGTTGTAAGAAAATTACTTCTAATTCATGCTGCGTATTTTCAATAAAAAAAATAAAAAAATAACAGAGGCAAATTCCTGAGTATTAAGTTCAAATTTTTTTACTTAGTATTTATTATTACAGTTTTTTTTTTCATTTTATTTTTTTTTATTAAAAATAAACTGAAAGTAAAACTAGAAAAAAATAAAAAATGTCATGCAAGAAATTTGGTTAAATTTGGCTATTATATCATCCATGTGACATTTTGATAATTCCAAGGTTTAATGGAAGTTGATAGCCAATTGCCAAACATCCATAAAATTGGTTACCATGCCAGAGGGAGGGACAGGCCTATAAGTCCAAGCACCCCCACCCCAATCAAAATGATCTTTTATAAACTGAATGAAGAGGATTCATTCTGATAAGAGTTAAGGACAATCTACTTTAATTCTGTATAGAATAAGGGTTTTACTTTTTCTTTAGAAATTATGTATTAATTAAATAAAAACATCTAAAATAGATTGGGTAAATGCAGTGAAAAAAAACAACTAAAAAATGACTCACTCTGTTAGCAATGTTGACGTTGACATTGTTTGCCATATTCAACAATTCCTTCAACCCACTCAGGTTACCATCTTCAGCAGTCTGGAACACGGCAGCCATCACAATGTTCTCAGCTTTGTCCTGAAAAATAAAAGAATGAGAAATTGTTAGCTGACAAGCAGAAGCGGAAGGAAAACAAACTCTACACACAACAGCAGTGAGATGAGCATTAAAGTTTTTTTTTTTTTTTGCTGTTTCACTGATGAACATGTATCCCAACAACTGTGTGTGTGCATGCATATATATATATATATATATATATATATATATATATATAAATAAAACAAACATTCTCTTACAGAGGTATTATACAGCTTATCAGCAGTAGAGTGGGGGTACTGCTGTAGTGGCTGAGAGAGTTGGTGGAGGGGTACTGAAAAGTTCTTCACCTGACCCACTTCCTAAAATCTGACCAAACAACCAAATACTTTTGTAATTAGTTCATGACTGAACCAAGAATTTTAAACATTTCTTGCATATTCTTCACCAGCAGTCAGTGTTCAAGCCCAGATAAAAGCCAGGATTTTGAAATGTTCAGTCTCAAGGCAGACAGGCTCTTTCAGGAATCTGTTGCCACACATTCTTCCTCCCCCTCATTGTAGTATATTGTACTATATTAAAAGATTAGTAAATATCTGTTTAGTGACTTATAGGTGAACCTTGGTATGATAGTTACTAAGCTCATCTGGCAGAACAATTTGCTAGTAGAAATTGTGTTCAAGTCTTATTCACCCACTAGATGAAGATATATTTAGTGAAGTGTGTGTGTGTGTGTGTGTGTACACATTACATGATTACTTACAAAAACAGGTTGCATGTGAAACATTTGCATCCTGGGTAAGATGATAAATTACATCTGGCAGCAAGGCATCTGATCAGGTGGTTTTGAGGAGCATGGAATCACCTCTTAATTGCTGGAGTACCCAGGTCCACCCTGACCCGGAGTGGTAGCACCTGTTAGGGTCCTAGCTATGTGCAAATAGTTAACCACCCAAACTGGTGTCAAAACACTATGAAAGTGTAAAAATAGGTTTTAATACCAGTAATACATTTTGTAAAAAATTATTACCAGCAATGAATTTTGAAGAAAAAAAAAAAAAAAAGAAGAAGACTACCAGCAATCAGTCAGTTATGTGCCATACGTGATACATGCTTAGGTGATCATGTATCTTTCAATACATGACTGACGAGGCAGATTTTATCCCCGCAGTAGGTTGCCATTTCTTTCTGCGGTAGACCAGTTGCCATCCAAGGCTATAGAACCAAGTCTGTCCTGCTGTTTACCCACAGCTGGAGGGAGAAGAAGAGGATTCATACCTTCCCCAAGGGTATTAGCACATAAACGAACGTAATGAATTCGACTAGAATTCAAACTGAGCTCTTTGATTCCTTAATCTGAGCTGCTATCCATTATTCCACTGTGCCAGCAATACATTTAAAAAAAAAATATTACCAGCAATAAAAATCTTATCGGCATTAAACAACTCATTGAGGTTGATATGTCGTAAAATAAAACAAACCAATCTGAAACATTTAATAAATCGTATATAGAAGCCAAAATGTTTTCAGATTTTGAATTGCTAAATTGATGAAAGTGTACATAAAACAAAAAATACATTTTATAAAACAATTACAATATTTAAAGATAGTTTATATAAACTCTCAAATAAAACTTTAAAATTGAAGGAAATTTTCAATTATAATTGACTTCAATATATATAATACTTTCTAAAAATTGAAGACACTATATTCTGTTAATACTGCCTATAATCTATTGGACTTGTAATGTTGTCAATAAAATCATATACTATTCACCAATATTATATTCCTATTCAAGATTTCAAGTGTTTATTTTGATGATTGTCACATTTCCTATCATTTAATCTTTAGTATTGAAAGTTGCTAATAAAATTGGTTCACTGTGTCACGCTAGACAATTTTTGTCTCCAGAATCTATCTTACATATTTATAAGTCTACCATTCATCTTTACTTCAATTATTGCTGACACATGGTCTGGGGCTCCTGCTATATATTTAGAGATTCTTGATAAAAATCCAAAGAAGAATCTGCAATGTTATTGATCCTGATTCCTCTGTTCTTAATAATATTTTTTTTCTTATATTCTTTCACACTCAGTAATTCCCTTGTGTCTTAGTGGTTTTATTACCTTGCTTGGGGGTGGGGGTGTGTGAAATGATTAAAAAAAAGACTAAATTCTAAAGTTATAATTACCAAAACAAAAGTAATGTAAACATAAAAGGAAATGAATAGTAATTCTATTTCAAACAGTTACAAAATTGTGCGTGTGTGTGTGTTTAAATTTTTTACATCATCAGAAGAGTCTACTACATAAAACTGGGTGGATTGTTTATAGATATCAGACTTTTCTGTTATTTTAAACCCAACAAATAAGACCCCATATTTTATTTATGTCTTAAAAGTAATAATAAAAATAAAAAATAAAATAAAACGGATAGCGATTTCTAAATTGCATCATACTTAAAAATTTAAATATTTTTCTCGTTTCCATCTTGCACATTTATAAATCTACTGTGCATTGAATATTGCTACCACATCTGGTCTGTTACTCCTGTTATATATCTCGAGATTCAATAAAATACAAAGAAGAGTCTGTAATTTTATTGGTCTTGACCTGGCAGCTCAGCTTCAGTCACTTTCCCACTATCGAATAAATAACTACATAAGGTAATTATTGAATATCATTTAAATGAATCCATCTTCTATTAAAGTTTTGTTAATGAAATTGAGTTTAAGAAACACTTACATTGTGGAACAGATTCCTGAGAGGATGCTTTCCTGATCACTATACGCTTCACCTCTTCAAGTCTAAGGTCAACCATCATCTATCCTACATATCCTCATAATCTGAACTCACCTCCTCCTCTTACATTCATACAACAACCTCACTTAGTAACCCTCTACTTTGAGTGGCTCTTGGAGCTTGTATTGGGTGAACATTTAGTAAAAAAAAAAAAAAAAAAAAAACTGAAAATTATCAAAATATCTAATGGTATTTTGTCAAACTGATTAATAAATATATTTTCTGTTCTTTGGATTTAGCTATGAAAAAAGAAATGACTGTAGTGCCACTTTGTATTTTGGATTGGCAGAGTAAGAAATACACCCTTATTGCTGAAATCTATGGACAATCAGTGAAAAATTATGAATTCAATTTAAAAATATGCAACTGTGTTAAGTATTACTTTTCTTTATCAGTGGTATACTACTTTGAAATCAAATACGACATCAAAAAGTCACAAATTTATCTTAATTTCAATGTAAAAACCAAACCCAGAGGTATAAAAACTAAGTAAAAAAATAAATACAGCAAAAAAACAAAACAAAAAAACAACAACAAACAATAGAAAAAAAAGAAAAGATACCGCACTTAGTAAAATAAAGAAAAAATGATTAATATTGACTCCAAAGATATATTAAAAAACTGGCCTATCTAAACTGAGTTTGGATGAGGTAGATTTTTTTTCTGTCTAATAACATCATTAGAATTGAATACTAAAAGCTACAATTAGGAAAGAAGAAAAATTAGGTTGAAGACAAATTCTAGTAGCTGTTGTATAATGATCGAGTAGCAATAAGTGTAGGTAGTTTATTTAGTGAATTTGGGTCAGATGGTAAACTTCACATTACTCTGGTTCATGGAAACAACCAGAAATTACATCAAAGGGATAAATGAATTTTAAAATAAAAATGTTTTTATTAATATGAGTTTCATCTATCCAAGCCTGAATTCAGTGGAATGAAAACAATATGCAAGTGTGAATTGAATAAAGAGTTGACTTTGAAATTCCCATAATGCTGCCAAATAGGCATCTGAATAAGAATGGAGAGTCATAATGACTGAACCATTGGGACTATAGCAACCAAGGTATGAACATTAGCTTGAATAAAATTTATTCTGTTTACTGACACCAATGTTCTTTCACTTAGCATCTATCTAGAAATAGAATTCATTTCAAGGCATCTAGATAAATTCCCCTTTGCAACTAAAAAAAAAAAAAAAAAAAATTTATTTCTTGTGAAAATTTTACCCAGTTACATTAAACACTGGAAGAAAATGTATATTAAAATGTTACACAACTGCAAGAAAATATGCACATTTTGTAACTCAAGACACATAATGACAGACCATTATAGAATAGTGTAGAGTGTCACAGCACAGAATTATTAGAATGAATATCTTTTACCAATGAGAGCACAAGTACATTTGTTCTTAACACAGAAGACAAGAGGTAGAGTTACGTGCAAATATTCAAGACTGCTCATTGGAATTACCATGTATACAGAAACACAAGGACACCTATATGCACACTGCTGAAACTCAAGTGTACACACATACACACACATATATATATATATATATAGGTGACAAAACTTTGGTAGTGAGAAGGTTAGTTTACCTATGAAATTTTATATATGTGGATATTAGTGTTAGTGGCTCAGAAACTGAAAAGTAAAATTTGAATTCCAGTTGAGTTTATTACAGTCACTTATGTGCAAAAATGCTAAGGAAAGGATTGAATCCATTTCTTCTCTTCCCAGCTACAGGTTAAATAGCAGGATCGACTGGGGCCCTATAGCATTGGTTGGTAACTAGACTAGGAGTAAGACAACTTTGAATTTAAACCCTGAGGAGAGTAATTTAGTGACCTTGTGGCACAATATGTGCACCAGTTCTCTGTATTTGGTTCTTCCAAAAAAAGTGTGATTCATTCTGTACAAGCCTTCACCACTATAATCAGATCATATGAGTGAGTAGCCTGGCTGTTAGATTCTAAGAATTGAATTGCTGTACTCTCATCTGTTGAAAAACAACATTTCTGTGTGTTTTTGAGTGAGAACAAGAAATTTAATATCATATAGTATCAGGGTAAAATCAGTGCTCAATATTAAAGAGCTTCTAGTATATCAGTAAAAATGAATTAAAAACACGAAAGATGAATACTTTGACAACTGTCACTTTCACATGGGGTTATCTTCAGGCATAGAGTATAGCCACTGGATTGGTTCCTTTTAAACATACTGCTTTGGAAGAGTCTAT